CACAATTAAAGGGCCCCATCCTGTTCCTACTGATTTTACCTGGGAGCCAGGGGATGGTCCTAAATTATCAAAACACTCCAAGGCAAGAACAATACAGATGTACAATAAGATTTACAGCACACTGGATGTACAATCTAAAGATATACCAACTCTGTGTTAAATTTACCTTGGCTTTCATAGTATTCCCCTTTCTCCCTATGGGGAATACTGGAAATACAGTAGGACTGGTCAATATAGCAGTACTATAACCTCAAGGTTTTAGCCCTGATCCTGTTTCTATCTAAGTCTCTGGAAAGCTTGACATTGGTTTTAACAGCAGCAGGATCAGGCTCCTTAAAGGCACTGGTTCTGTCTACTGCTCACATAAAATCAAGATGAAAGCTGTGTAATCTGCTAATATCTCCAGCTGGTGACTTGGAGACAAGGGAAATGAAGTAACTGCTTGATAGCTTTGTAAAGCTAGACTTTGTTTTCTTGTAGTTCTCCTGAATGGAAGGCAGTCAGCCCGTCGGAGCAAAAACGTCTATGTCAGACAGCACTAGATGATGGAGAGTTCTGGTATGTACCCTTTGGGAAAACAAATATGCAAATGAGAATAAATACAGCAACCAGGCAGGACAAGTGGAGCAGCGGGGAATAGCTCTGAACTGTAACCTTATTGGTTTAATCCAAAGAGTACAATGAAATCTTGATATAAATCGTTCTTTGTATACATATTCTTACTAACAGACTACATCTTTAAAATATTTAAAATGCCACACTTAGCAGCGGGCATGAACATGTTTAAAAATTGTGAATTCTAAAGATGTCACGGTCAAAATGCATGACACTGTGATTGACTTGTTCCCTGCAGGGGTTAATGAGACATAGGTGGTTTGTATAATATAAGGCAATGCTTCAGAAACAAGTCTGGCGAGTTTTGTATTGCCTAACTACTCCACTCCCATACATCACATGTCACCTTACTAATGGCCTTTGAATTAGGTGATGCTTTCCAAGTAGCATTTGCCACTTCACCTCTTCTGTGCCACACCTGGTGGAAGAATGACTCATGAGTTTCAGTGGGTCACATCACAGGCTGCACAAATGCTCTTTATATGTACCCCTTTGAGACTTTTAAATAAGCTTGTACCGTGTGTGCTGCGTGTTCTTAAGGACAGGAAAGTAGTGAAATCAACAAAGAGCAGCCTAACAGGCTTCTAGAGAGTTTTCAGTTGGTTTGTTCTCAGATTTGCTGTCATTTAGAGCAGTGTGGCCTAGTATGGAGGTTTTTAAACTTCTTTGCTCTGCGATCCCCTTCTGACAACAAACATTGCTACATGATCCCCAGGGGGGAAACAAAGCCTGAGTCTGAGGGAGTTCTGTCACCTCAGGAGGGGTGATCAAAGCCAAAACCAGAGCCCCCCAACTCAAGGTGGCAGGGCCACCAAACCCAAAGGGCTTCAGCCCCAAGTGGGGGTCTAATTCTAGCCCTGTAACCCCCATTAACACAGGGTCACAAATCCCCAGGTTGAGAGCTGCTGGTCTAGTATATAGAACTGTGGTCACTAACCAGTAGATCGGGATCTACTGGTAGATCTTGGAGCCCCTGAAGAGTGATCTTGACTGGTTTGGGCAAGAGGCTACCAAGTGCCGCACTTCAAAGGAAACCATAGAATTCTCATCATTGGAGGTTTTTAAAAACAGGTAGGACACAAGCCTGTAGTCTAGACATAGCCTAAGGCCCAGATCTTCAATGGTTGTTAGAAGCCTAAATATCTTTGAGGATATGGGCCCTGCTGCTCAGATTGATACCTGGCTTCTGTTGCCATATTTCCTTGCTCTATTCCCCTTCCTATCCACCAGCAACTGCTGCAGTCCACACCAGTCCCTGACTGGGTAAATACTTCCCCTATTGGTTCTTGCTCCAGTTCGATTGAGTGCAGACCCATTCACAGTGAGCAAAGTGCTAGTGGGCCTCTCCTCTGTCTTGCTGCACAGTGAGCTACCTGCATGCCTCTTGCAGTGAGTTGGAATGGTTGTCTGCAGTGTATCAGACTTGGTTATTATGGTTTCAATTTTGATAGAACTTTTACCCCTGCTGTACTGTTTTTGCACTAAAAGGGATCACAGGGACCAGGAGCTGTGTGACTAGAATACTAGAGCCTCCCTTCCCACACCAGTTTTTACACTCTTGTCATTCCATTAGAGTTGATTCTCTCCCTACGTCTACACAGCAATGCTATTTCGGGATACCAGAGTATCCCAAAATAGCTATCCCACATCTTCACAGCAAGCCCATTACTTTGAAATATGATGGGCTCACTATTCTGACATCCCTGTAAACCTCTTCCTTGAGGAGTAAGGGATGGTTGGGAATAGCAGGTTATTTCGAAATTTGGCACTGTGTAGACAGCACCAAATTATGAAATAAGCTATTTCTAAATAAGATCGAAATAAGATACGCAATTTGCGTAGTTCAAATTGTATATCTTATTTTGAGCTACAGTGCAGTGTAGACACACGCCCTTAAACTGGTGTAAATAAGGAGTAATTCAGATGAAGTCAGTGGAGTCTCACTATGTTAAGACTGGTATGGGAGAGATCAGATTCAGGCCCATATGGGTGAATAGTTTTACTTGTGATTTACACTTGTGTAAAGGAGAGGAGAATCAGATCTATGGAGCGAGATCGTCATCTGGTGTAAATCAGCATAACTCCAATCAAGTCAATGGAGCTACACTGATTTACTGAAATTCATCATCTGGCCCTATGTTCTGACTCTCTGCATTTTGAATTGGTCTGTGGGAGTAGTTTTTGCCTCACCCGCTGCTTCTGTTCAGTCACTAATGTGATGTTCTCACCCCTTTCCCTTCCTTCCATGTAGGATGACCTTTGAAGACTTCAAAACACATTTTGATAAAGTTGAGATTTGCAACCTAACTCCAGATGCTCTTGGGGACAATGCTACCAACAAGTGGGAAGTGACAGTCCATCAAGGGAGCTGGGTCAGGGGGTCCACTGCTGGAGGGTGCAGAAATTTTCTAGGTGAAAAGAATTTTCTTTGGAAATAATTCCCAATCCTGTGGAAGCACCCATTATAGACTCAGAATTCTTTACCACTTTGTAACTTCCACACACACGTGCTGAATAAGGCCAACAGAGTCTCAGCTAGCTCAGCCCCAGCAAAGTATCAAAACAGTCACAAGATTCCACTTGAGAGACATAATTTGCCTTTGTTTTGCACAAGTCTTTTCCCCCTCCTATACATTTGTGTTATTTAGGCATAACTCCACTAAGGTCAGCTAAATTACACCCTTGTCAAAAGACTGCAAATGAAAGGAGAATCTAGCCCTTTCCATCACACTGGTGTAGATGTAAAGTCACTCCTCTGATTGAATGGAGTTACTCCAGATTTACACCAATATGAATGAGATTAGAATTTGACCCTTTGTACTTCTATATTTTCAACAAAACCCCATTTAATTGTCTTGTAACTTTCATCTCTGATTTAAACCACTGGTTTTTAATGAGATGTTAAGGCTAAATTCTGCTATGGTTTATACTAAAATCCAAGTCCCTCAGGAGTTGGCTCTTGGTCTGCAGAATTGCATGAAATCATCAAGATACATAATGGAAAATAGAAAAACAAAACAACCCCATTCCCCTCCCCCACAAAAAAATCCTCAGATTTACTCTCTGTTAGCCTTATTTGGTTCTGTTTATTTTTGTGAGAGGAAAAAAAACCTGCTTCTTTGCTTTGGCAGACACTTTTTGGACAAATCCACAGATCAAGCTGCGTTTGACGGAGAAAGATGACGGAAAAGACGAATGCACGTTTATAGCAGCTTTGATGCAAAAGAATCGGCGTAAACTCAGGAAACTAGGTGCTGAAATGCTGACAATTGGCTATGCTATTTATGAGGTACCTGGTATTTTACAATGTAGTAGCCATGGTCACTCTTTCTCCCCACCTCCCTTATATCATCTCTCTGTGTATCAGTCTAGATTTCTGTATCACACCCATCACTGTGGTATCTAATCACCTATGTTCCTTAGATAAGGATTTCCCTTTAAAATGTCCTTAGATTAGTACAGAAGTGCTTTGCCAAAATAGTTTTTCTCCATCCTAAACCTCTGCATACAATGTCTGCTTTACCTTAGAGCCTGAGAGCTAGATTTCTCCAGCATCCAAGCTGCATTCAGCATAGGCCGTGGGGTGGGAGGAGTGCCAGTGGCTAATGGTGGCTTCCTGAGCCAGCGAGTCATGCATGTATCTGAAGGCAGTTTGGCCCCGTGATTCCAGATCAGGAAGGGAGGTGGGGATTGTTGTGTACCTCAGTTACTTACAATAAAGAATAAACTAAAACCCCTGCTTCAAATTCCATTGCAGAGCCCTAGCAAAGATGAACACTTGAACAAAGACTTTTTCAGATACCATCCCTCCAAGGCAAGGAGCAAAACCTATATCAACTTAAGAGAAGTGTCTGACCAATTCAGGCTGCCACCTGGGGAGTATGTTCTTGTTCCTACTACTTTTGAACCACACCAGGAAGCTGACTTCTGCCTCAGAATCTTCTCTGAGAAAAAAGCCATCACGCAGTAAGTAATCAGTGGAGAGTGGTCAGCCTCCTGCAATTTCCAAAACTCCCACACGTGTTTTTTTAAAGAACCATAAGAGATTCCTGAGGGTATTCTCCCCATATCGCTCCAGGCAAGAAACCCCATGGAAGAGACCTCATGGGGTCACCTATTCCAACCCACTGTTTAAAGCAAGACCAACCCCAACTAAATCATCCCAACCAGGACTTTGTCATGCCTGGCCTTAATAATCTCTAGGGATGAAGATTCCACCATGTCTCTAGGGGACCCATTTCAGTGTTTCACCACCCTCCTAGTAAAATAGTTTTTCCTAACAGCCAACCTAGAACTCCCCCACTGCAACTTGAAACCATTGCTCCTTGTTCTGCCTTCTGCCACTACTGAGAATAGCCCCTCTCTCTCTTTGGAACCGCCCCCCCTTTCAGGTAACTGAAGGCTGCTATCAAATCCCCCCTCACATTTTTCTTCTGAAGTCTAAATGCAACCAGCTCCCTCAGCCTCTCTTCATAAGTCATGTGCCCCGGTCTCCTAATCATTGTCATTGCCCTCTGCTGAGCTTCCTCCAATTTATCCACACCTTTTCTGCAGAGTGGGCCCATAACTAGATACAATACAGGCAGTCCCCAGGTTATGTACAAGATAGGGACTGTAGGTTTGTACTTAAGTCGAATTTGTACTTAAGTCGGAACTGGCGTCCAGATTCAGCCGCTGCTGAAACTGACCAGCGGCTGACTACAGGAAGCCCGAGGCAGAGTTT